GAGAGAGAGAGAGAGCAGCGCTCTGATGCCTTAGTTGACTGAAAACGAAATTCAGGTTAGTCCATTCTTCAGGATAGTAGAGAGAGAGAGAGAGAGAGAGAGAGGATGAGAATTCACAGGTGTGGGTGGGGGACAATTTCAGTTACAGTCCTGCTCCGATTAGATAGCCGTCGAGCTCGAGACAAGACGCGGCGGCTTCGCCGGTGAGCCAGGACCTCACAGGTGGCAGGGACAACGCAATGCCGCCAGAGGAGAGGTCGGGGCGGGGCGGAAAGAAGATCGGGTGGGGAAGAGTAAGACGAAGCAGTAGCCATTGCATTTCAATCCAATGTCTTGAAAAATCAACTGATTTAAAATGATCAGGCAACTGTTTTATAGGCTTCTGTTTTGTCTAATCCAAAGCTTGTTTGTTGTGTCCGTCTTTGCACAGGACGAAGTACAACAAAGGCTATGCGTTCGTCAACATGACAACGGCGATCGCTGCACGGCGGCTCCACGCGTTTCTCCACGGGCACCGCTGGGCCCTGGCAGGCTCTCGGAAGGTGTGTGAGGTCGTGCATGCGGACATCCAGGTACGCGCACACACATCGCCGGCCAACTCCACATCTTCGCCTCCGGCCAACGCCGTAACTCGAAGAAATGTTTGCCTGCTCGCAGGGGGTGGATGCTTTGTCAGCGCACTTCTCCTGCTCCAAGTTCCCCTGCGGTAACAAGGAATTCCTGCCGGTGCGCTTCGGCCCGCCACGGGATGGCCTCCGGCCGAGGGTGGAGCGTGTGATTGGCCGCACGCTGGTCCACCGCCCCACTGATCAATCCGCCCGCCCCATGCCGCATGCTGCACGTATGTGTCCTCAAAGTTATAATCTGAACTTTTTCTGAACTTTGTATGGCTAGTAAGCAGTCGTGACCTGAATTGTATTGAGGTTTAGGGCCAGTTCTTTTGGGGCTTACGGGTAGCTGCCAAAATAAGCTGCCCCCTACCCAGCTTATTCTGGCAGCCCAACCTAAATTTTATTCTAGAAGCCTACTACTATGATGTTGTATTATGCTAGCGAAATGTACTCTTAGTTACTAGGAGTAGTTTCTTAGCATTAAAAACTAACTGGCTGATCCTTTCTCTCTGATGTTCTATTATTGACTGATCCTTTCTCTCTGATTAAGCTATAACTAACTGGCTGTTGGATACATTTTTGGTCCTCTTGCAGAAAGAGGAGGCAAATCGAAACCTGCTGCAGTGGGGAACAAAACTGTTTGAGCTGGTGGCTACTGGCTAGTGATGTCTTTGCTTCGTCGCGAGGATGGAGGCCTACTCACCTTAGGGTAGGTGCTTAGTGTGCTTGGTTACCCGAGATGTTGTGATCAAGTTTAGATGGTTCTTTTGTGGGTGCATGAGTATCTTCTAGTATCTGTATCCTAGCTTGGAGATGTTGGTTTCATTTGCCTTCCCTAGGTAGCAGCTATGCTTGGTGGTTCTGCCATCCGATTTCCTTTGAGTTGTCACTAACTGTACTCATCTGCCCAGAACTTTGTTAGATTGGTGTCTGCATCTGTTCGTATGTTATCCGCCCGTGTATGTGGTTAAAGATTTGGCATCCCGTTGCAATGTGTGATGTTGATGGCGCTGAACGAAGAGGTTAATATTGGGGGAGATTTTTGGCTCCCTGAGCACCAATGTGCTGTTTTTCCGCCCGCAAGTCTGCCCTTTGATTGTTGCAACAATGGGTGATATTTGAAATAATTTTATCTAGATTAATAACATAACGCCTGGTCATGTATGCATCGCTGCCCTCGGTTATCTCTGGAGCAAGGTAAGGTTATCGTCAGGTTTTGGGTGATATATCGGAGAAAACATATCTGGATTTTTTTCCATATTCTTGTACAGAAATGCATTTTTAGTAAAATAGAACTGTGAAGTCAATGCTCTAGCCTAACAAACTTGAGGTTGCCAAACGTTTCCGTAAATGGTGACCATAACGGTAACTTCCACGCTTCCAGGACTTTGTTCTAAGACGGGATTTGCTCCTCTGACGATGGAGGGATACTCTTCGGAGTTTGGACCCACTCGGTATTAAGGTATCCATCATTAGCTGACTATACATATAGCGTGATATGATCATGGGTTTACCAGAATACAGAAACAAGAAAATAGAATAATATCAGTAATAAGGATCACTTGGTATTGTGATCAACCAGTTGCTTCACAAGGATACCGATAAAAGTCTCACCTGAAGTTTTGTTAAGTATCGCGGAGCAAAGGAACTGTGTACGCAAAGCCAAGTTTCGCTCGATAAAAGATATTCGTGTATATGTGAGAATCAATATGGATGTCCAGATCTCATCGAACCCGCAGGGTCAAATGCTTAGTTGTTAGTAGTTTGATAGAGAGCAAGGAGACACTTGAGTATTAGAAAAGGCACCGGAAGTGTTCCGCGTATTTTCGAAAATGTTTCGGGAAGTTTCAAGAAGGTCCAAGTAATGCCGAAAATGTTTCAAAGGTGCTCACAGAAGTCTTGGAAGCGTGGAAGATTCCAAGTGGTCCAATTGGGCTGCCACCTTGGTTGCAGCGGCCACATGGGCCCAAATGGCGCACCCCCTTCAGCTTATTAGGCAAGGAAGTGGAGCTGTGTGAGAAAGGAAATGATCTCTAGGGGATGCTCCTCGTTGCACATGGAAGGGACGGATCCCCAGGGGATCCTTCCCCTTGATGCGACCAGCCCTTGGGGTTGCCCCCTCCACAAGTTGCATCCCCTATGCCACCTATAAATAGAGGAGAGGGGCACCCCCCCCCAAGAGAGAATTTTCTGAAAGCCTACACCCCTTCCCTCTGTGCCAACATCCTCTCTACGTCGTAAGGCTACTGCGCCAATTACTCTCTGATAGCTCTTTGTCCTGGACGTCAAAGTGCTGCTGAACTATTGATTCGTTACGCGTGGATATCGCAGAGGGGGTGTATGTTCGACTCTCAATCAAGGGTAATATTCTCATAGTTGGGAGATATAACCTAGCTGCAGAATCTATAAGTCTTCACCGACCTGATTGACATGCCTCTTGCATCTTTATAGTGATCCTGGGCGTGTACATTAGTACGGTAAAAAAATTGTATTGTATTGTATTCCCCAACATACGAAGGATGAATAGCCGTTGCACTTGATGTTGGAAGTCCTTGTGTATGTCTGAGCAAAGATGGGTGTATGTATGTCCGGGCAAAGATGGGTGTACCAAAGCTCAGAAATCAGGATATCATATTTGTTTAAGGATGGGTTTCGTCTCTGGAACAGAGGGGAACGAAGGTGGCGGAACCAATCGCCCTTCCGGTTTCCCAGATCGATGCGAACTCACCGGAGGCGCGCCTGGAGGTGAGGGAGCAGTTCCCAGATCACTCGGAGTGGTCGGATCTCTTCACTAACATCATCCAACATGGCACGTTCGAGGAGTTAATGAGATTCACCGGCGGCGACGGCTGCTACGATGTGGAGCTCCTCTTATTGGCGATGCAGGAGGCGGAACCTCCCGATCCGCAACAGGTGGCCCGGTGGGTCAATTTTCGCACGGCCAACCCATCTCGCCTCAACATCATGCGATCTTGGGTGGATGCACTCACCAACAGTCCGCCAGGAGTGCTTCCACCTAGGGTTCGCCCTCGTTGCCGTCAGTGAGCACGACCCACTGTGATGTGTACGTGAGGCAGGGCTCTACCCTTGTTTTGTTGCCTCATCACGGGGGGAGCTAGGATGCTGCACTGCCGTGTCGACCCTCCTCTTTGGCCCGGTGATCTTGGTATGGTTCCCCTAAACCATCGCTGATAACCCACTAGTATAGGGGATCAATTGTAGCCTCTTTCAATAAGTAAGAGTGTCGAACCCAACGAGGAGCTAAAGGTAGAACAAATATTCCCTCAAGTTCTATCGATCACCGATACAACTCTACACACTCTTAACGTTCGCTTTACCTAGAACAAGTATGAAACTAGAAGTACTTTGTAGGTGTTTTTGGATAGGTTTGCAAGAATACAAAGAGCACGTAAAAAAACTAGGGTCTGTTTTAGGTAAAGAAGCAATAAAGTTAGTATAGCGAGTGTGGAAAAGTGGTGGTAGGAGTTGTGAAATTGTCCCTAAGCAATTGACTACTTTACTAGACCGATAGCAAGTTTTATGTGAGAGAGGCCACTGCTAGCATGTCATCCCCGACTTGGAATTCTATGCACTTATGATTGGAACTATTAGTAAGCATCCGCAACTACTAACATTCATTAAGGTAAAACCCAACCACAACATTAAGATATATTGGTCCCCCTTCACTCCCGTATGCATCAATTTCTACTAGGTTGAAGCTTCTGTCACTCTTGCCCTCCAATACGTAGTCCTATCAATATACAACTAACCCTATGGTGTGATCCACGCGCGCGCTCATATGATGGGCACCAAAGGACAACAACATAACCACAAGCAAATTAAACCAATCATAGCAATTCACCAATCACCGATAGGACAACGAAAATCTACTCAGACATCATAGGATGGAAACACATCATTGGATAATAATATGAAGCATAAAGCACCATGTTCAAGTAGAGGGTACAACGGGTTGCGGGGGAGTGGATTGCTGTAGATAAATGGGGGAAGGTGATGATGATGTTGGTGAAGATGACGGAGGTGTTGGTGTAGATCGCAGTCACGATGATGGCCCCGACGGCATTCCGGCACCACCGGGAAAGAGGGGGAGAGAGCCCCCCTTCTTCTTCTTCTTCATTGACCTTCTCCCTAGATGGGAGAAGGGTTTCCCCTCTGGTCCATGGCGTCCATGGAGGTGGAGGAGCGAGAGCCCCTCCGAGATTGGACATGTCTCTCTGTCTCTCTCCGTTTCTGCATTTCAGATTCTGCCCTTTCACCGTTTCTTAAATTCCCGAAGATCGGTAACTCCGATTGGGCTAAATTTTGGACACGATTTTTACCCGGATATTGGATTTCTTGCGGCGAAAGAAGGGCACCAACCGCCTTACGGGGTTGCCCCGAGGGCCCAGGGCACGCCTGACCCCCTGGGGCGCGCCCCCCTGCCTCGTGGCCCCCTCGGGCATCGTCTCGCGTTGATTCTTCTTCCCAAAATCACATATATTCCAAAAAAATTCCGTCAGTTTTTATCCCGTTTGGACTCCGTTTGATATGGATTTTCTGCGAAACAAAAAACATGCAACAAATAGGAACTGGCAGTGGGCACTGTATCAATATGTTAGTCCCCAAAAATAGTATAAAAAGTTGCCAAAAGTATATGAAAGTTGTATAATATTGGCATGGAACAATAAAAAATTATAGATACGACGGAGACGTATCAGCATCCCCAAGCTTAATTCCTGCTCGTCCTCGAGTAGGTAGATCATAAAAAAGATAATTTTTGATGTGGAATTCTACCTAGCATAATCTTAATCATGTAATCTAATCATGGCATGAATATTAAGACGCGAGTGATTCAAAGCAATAGTCTATCATTTGACATTAAGACAATAATACTTCAAGCATACTAATAAAGCAATCATGTCTTTTCAAAATAACATGGCCAAAGAAAGTTATCCCTACAAAATCACATGGTCTGGCTATGCTCCATCTTCACCACACAAAGCATTCAAATCATGCACAACCCTGATGACAAGCCAATCAATTGTTTCATACTTTTGAAGTTCTCAAACCTTTTCAATTTTCACGCAATACATGAGCGTGAGCCATGGGTATAGCACTATAGGTGGAATAGAATATGATGGTGGAGGTTGTGTGGAGAAGACAAAAAGGGAGAAAGTCTCGCATCAACACGGCTAATCAATGGGCTATGGAGATGCCCATCAATTGATGTCAATGCGAGGAGTAGGGATTGCCATGCAATGGATGCACTAGAGCTATAAGTGTATGAAAGCTCAAACTAAAACTAAGTGGGTATGCATCCAACTTGCTTGCTCATGAAGACCTGGGGCACTTGAGGAAGCCCATCATTGGAATATACAAGCCAAGTTCTATAATAAAAATTCCCACTAGTATATTTGAAGACATTAAAACTAAGCACTAATCGAGCCCTCTTAGGCCATTACCATTTCAAACCATTGGATGCCTGTTGTGGATGTCCGTGACCGTTAGATTTCATTCTAATCGTGAGCTCCGAGCGCTCCATGTTTGGGTCGCTGCTCCCGTAACAAATTCAGAGATCTGATGTAAACTTCGGAAAAATGGGCTTGGGCCAAGCCTGCAGAGCCACGGTCGCCCCTCCTCCCCC